TGTATTTGCTCCCAAGCAAATGTCGGCCTCTCTAGTTGTAAATGGATTGCCATAATTAGGGTTGATCACTGTGCTTTAGCCACTTTTTTCATTATATCAAAGGATTAGTGAGACTGTAATTTTTACTTTATACTGTCTGTCAACATACATGTAAAACATGGAAATGAATCTATGCTTTCTGTAAATTGTTGTTTACACAAAAACAAGGGATAAACACTTGGGTAAATAGAAATATGCTATTCAAAATAACATGCTTCAATATAATACAAGACATTCAATCTAAGGGTCCGTGTCATCACTAAGTCTTCTAGTTTGTTGAAAATAAATTTGAACATAATTGATGATCCTCTCTACCATATCCACACAGTGTACAAAGAGTTTGAGACTTTGCTAGAAGAGCAGGCACCCATTGAGGCTTACACAGAGTGGCTTGATCAGATGGTGGATAGATGTGTAGTGAAACTGAGCAGCCACAAACCTGGGAGTCTTCGACGAATAGCCCGTCAGTTTCTCCTAATGTGGTCTGGATTTGGAACCAGAGTCATCCGTGACATGACACTGCACAGCTCACCCAGCTTTGGTAAGTCCTTTGTGTTTGTGTGTGTGTGTGTCTGTCTGTCTGTCAACACGATAACTTGAGAAAGCTTAGTTGGATTGTCCTGGTGAGAACTTGGAATTTATTTGATTAGGTTAATTTTGGGTTCCATAGCAGCTTTTTAAGGTACTGCAGGGGGCTTGATATCTCATGTTTTGAACTTTCTTTAATCCCAATTGTGTACTTGGAGTAGTACACAATCAAAATCTTTGATTTAACTAATGATTACCATGTAACTGTGATACAGTATTCAAAAAAAGACATGCAGTCTTGTAATTAGATGCACGGAAGCTAGCTCCTGACCTCAACTTCTGTTGCATGGACATCACAAGTGAGGTTCCATTGAGCACATCTAAACAATTTTCACATAATGGTCCTCAGTCTCCTCAACATTTTGATCTGAATAGTCATGGTATACAGCTCATGTAAAGGTGCCATGCTAAATCAGATGGATTGTGTTTCGGAAGCCTTATTCGGGTAAATCGCATTATTATTATAATGATATGAGGTATATGTATACATATACCTCATATCTGGTCCACATGCCACACATTCCATTGGAGTCGTGCCCAAGCACAATGCAGCTAAACTACAATCACTGCTGTTTGATGAAAAGATGCAAGGTGGCGTCTTGTCAATGTCAGAGGTCAACGACCTGCTTGCTGTGTGCCCCCTCGCAGCGCCGAATAATGACTTGGTCCCGCCAGACACGCTGGACTTCGTCCTAGAATGGACACATTATTCTGTCATTATCACTCTTGGAGTTGTGGTCACATACCTATTTGTATCGCATACCGGCCACGGTACTGTAAGTCTCTTTAGATTTGCGGGGCCTAAAGTTCGCAGTTTTGGGAAAATGGACAGTCCGCGGTTCGCAGATCTAATGCGCTTCTACCACTTTCGTCTGAACACGGCCTTTGTATCAACAAGAAAGTGGCCTTTCACAAAATAAAACTGGCCTCTGCTCTGGACACTTAACACTGCCTGTAAATGTTGTGGCTTGGTCTACCTACATGTAATGCTACTGATGTTTGGTGAAGGTCCAATCAGATACTTGGTTAATGTTTGCAATTAATATTTTTTACTAATAAAACTAATGTTTGTTCTCCTAGGTTCATTTCACCTTCTGCACCTGATGTTTGATGACTATGTGATGTACCTGGTCGAGAGTCTTCAGGCTAGTCAACACTCCTCACAGCTGCTCCAAGATATGAGAGGAGAAAAAGATTCAGGTATGCTTTCTGGAAATTAATAGCACCCAAAGCAATTTTAGGCCCCACACCCCCCCCCCACGCCTGGTGGTGCCAACAATTATAACATTACCTATTTTTTCATGTAGGTAGCATTTAGGCAGGTAGCATTTAGGCAGGTAGGTAGGCATTTTCATGTAGGTAATAATAATTGCGCTATATGATTCTCATTATTCTATCATTTCTCCACAGTCTCTAAGGACTTGGATGATCCTGCCCTTCCCAATATTCAAAGCTCGATGGTTGGCATGGAAAGTAACTCCCAACTTTCTATCACCATGGATACACACCCGACATCCCCCAATCTGGATGCCTCCCCTTTACAATCCTCTGTTGCCTCCCCCACAGGTAACACCAGCTTTTATTGACTTTCACCAACTAAGAAGGTTTATGTTTTCGCAAACTTTCAAGATATGGTACGTACATGTAAGCTCTATTGGAAAGAAGACATACATCTGTAAGATGGGGCCCTAGCAGCATGTTCTGGGACAGCTGTGGCATTTGCTTAAAAATCTGTAAATTTAAAGAGAATAACTCTGAACAGTCACTCACTGTGACAGATCGACCTGGATCATATCTTAAGGTCATCATCATTTGTCATTCACTATGTTAAAATTTTAGCCTTTTCCCCTTGATCCCACACTGTGCTACTACCAGTGTATGGTAACAGTACTATCATATAGTTTATACAATTTATGTGATAGTGTATAGCACACACATAATGTTATACTAAACTGTCTTTCATTTTGGGTCATGCACACAAGACTTTATTACATATTACTGATAGCAAATTAAGAGAAATGTTTTAGAAAAGCTATAATTGGAATATTTAGTAATACATGTACATGTACATGTACTAGGTAATACAGTGTATAATATGATGTGGGTGTCATCCATGGATTGGCCAAATCCTTATTCTTGTTAATTTGTTATTTATTACCTTTGCCAAGATGGTATGTTTTTGGTGGTGTTTTTTTTTCTGTGTGTGGGCGTAAACTCGTAAAATATAGATAAATTGTTTTGATATTGTCTTGAATATGATTTGATTTTGCACCCCCTGGCAGCTTGTTATCATGGTACTACTGCACCAGAACTTTCAGTTTTGATATGTTGTGATCTGGATAAGCTAGGTTGATGACTTTTGGATGGTACATGTAGATGGGGCAGGGGCATTTCTCTGACCCAAGTGGCTGCTAAAGTGTACAATCGGCTCCTGCTGAACACACTCAAACCAAACTCTGCTCAGATTCTCACTTTCCGCCAAATCTTTCAAGAAGTTTGGAACCATCAAAAGGAAGCTGTTCTTATCTTCATCGATTTCAGGAAAGCGTTTGATTTGATCAATGGTGACATCATGTTCAAGATCCTACAGGCATATGGTGTGCCTCTGCCGATCATCAATGCAATTAGGATTATGTATGTTAACACTAATAAATAAGGCAACTGTACTGAGGGAGAAACAGGACCTCCATCAACATCAATGAAGGTGTCTTGCAGGGTGTTCCTCTTTGCATCGTTGCATTAGACTATATATACCAACTGCTCTGTGCAGCCCTCAACATTTCATGGAGGAGTCACGTGACCAACAGCCAACTTTTGGGAATCTGCCTTGGATTACAGTGATTATCTGTATATATGGCAAGAAATCGGACATAGAAAAACAAGGCTCATTTTAGAATCTTACAGCAAATCTTACAGCAAATAATACTTCAAATATGATTGTACCCAAGGGAATTTGTCATTCTAGGTCGCTATTTACTACATTAATCATTTAGATTATGTTTTCCATTATAGACAAATTGATTTTTCTGCATCTTCTCGACATTGGTCATTAAACACTACGGTTAGTAAAGAGACGTGCACATAACTATTCTAAAGAACGTAAATCTGCTATCTTGCAGTCCAAGACACTTGGCAGCTGGCACAGGAAAACAAGCCACTTTGGTGTATGCCACGAATCATTAAGCTCAAACCAAACAAGGCTTTTTCAAATCTTACAAGTGTTTCTGCCTACAGCACACACAGGTTCTTGAAGAAAAAAACAACAAGGCTCTTTTAGATATTACATATTACAGACACGGATTATTAAACACGATTAAGGTCTTTAATCCTATGCCTACATCTCACAGGTTGTTAAGAAAACCCAAGCCTTTTCAAATCTTACATCTTACTGACACGGGAAATTAAGCACGATAGTAAATTTAACAGAGAAGGGCGTAAAGGTCTTGATCAAGCACGTGTCTCTGTTCTGGGAGAGAAAAAAACCAAGGCTTTTCTAAATCTTACATCTTACATCTTACAGACACGGGTCATTAGGCACGTCATGGTAAATTGACAGGAAGGGCGTGAAGGTCTTTAATCCAGCACGTGTCTCTGTCTTCAGCACACCGGTTCTGGGAGAGAAAAAAAGCAAGGCTTTTCTAAATATTACATCTTACATATTACAGACACGGGTCATTAGGCACGATGGTAAATTTGACAGAAGGGCGTGAAGGTCTTTAATCCAGCACGTGTCTCTGACTTCAGCACATGGGTTCTGGGAGAGAGAAAAACCCAGGCTTTTCTAAATCTTACATCTTACATCTTACAGACACGGGTCATTAAGCACGATGGCGAATTGACAGAAGAGTGTGGGGATCCCTAATTGGAAAAACATTGGCATGGTGGAGAGAGCCTTTGGTGGGGTGGCTAGCCCGGGGATCGGGTGCACGCGGCAGCCGAATTTTGTTACAGAAAACTTTATGTGAAAGGCTCTATAACGAAAACAGTGGATGACCAGGTAACAGACACTTACCCTGTTTGAATGTGTGAGATCTTCGTCGGACCACGATTCTCCTTCCTCTTCGGAAAGGTCAGGAGCAGAAGCCATACCGTCGGTCCGACACGTATCACAACGTCTGACCTCACTTGAGTCTCAGTCATGAAACCATGAAGTGTCCTGACACCAGAGATAATGGCGTGTCGAATCAGTATCTCTGGTGTCAGGGTACATGAAAGTTGATCACGTTGTTGACCACACAGACACTTGTAAGGACCGGTGGTAACAAGTTTGGATTAGAAACATCTGTGTTACAGTACATTTCGATAATCTCCAAGCAGATGTAGGATCCGGCTCAATTCGTGTTTTTTTGCCTGTTTTTTTTTTTACGATTTTTAATTTTTTTTTATATAAAGTTTTTTTTATTGGTCACCTAATCAAAAAAACGCATATATAAAAAAAATTTAAATATCGTTAAAAAAGGCAAAAAAACACTAACTGAGCCGGCTCCTACATCTGCTCGGAGATTACATTGCGACGCGTTTTCGCATAAGTTCAATAGTCTATAAATATATTCATACACAAAATATGCATTTCTGGTCATCCTGTGTAATGTAGTGTGTTTTACATCATGTAGACCCCCGAGGGTCGCCTTGCATTTATGAGAAATCGCTGTACAAGCGTCCCGGTAAGATTGATTTATTTGGGGCCTAGTCTTCCGCTGTGACGAATGGAGAGGAGGGGTAAATTGAGAGATCGATAGACCAGGCCTGAGACAGACTTCAGTAAAAGAAGACCTTTGTTGTACGCATGTACCCACTCTGACCCACTGGGTTAAGTACAGGTCACAAGAATGAAACAGTTTACAGATACATTTATTTACATTGGCAAGCTATTATCTAAATGTAGGAACTATAGACTAAATGAATTTGACTTCTCCTCGCTTCTTTGTATTAAAATGATAAGGATGTTGGAACAGATATTTTTTTTTAAACACAGGTTTGTTTAAACAGTTAAACTCAATAAAAATATAAAGTTAGGTTGTATCTATCTATAAAGTTCATCTCTCTCAGTGTTTTTTTTTTCATCTCTTTCAGTGTTGTATAGGTCACACTCTACAACAAAATGGTATTCATCTTTTATACTATCTAGGTTGCAGAATTCACATATTCGTTGTTTCAGTATGTCAGGGGAGTGCGGTTAGCGAGGTCAAACAAGATACTCTCCAAGCAGAGGTGGGGGGAAGTGAAATTAGGATATTCCGACTTGGCTAGCTTCCCGAGGCCGACTGCAGCGAATACGGCATCCTTTAGCTAGCCAAGTCGGAATATCTTACTTTCCTTCCCTCCAACCTCTGCTTGGAGAGTAAGACAAGAAGGTGAAGGAAGGCGGACGGATAGACTCACCACATGTGCAGCAAATTATTGACCCTTACCAAAACAACACATGGTCAAACGGACTTTGGCGCTGATGGGTCATCTGTCTGTAATATGTAAGATGTAAGATTTGAAGAAACCTAGGTTTTTCCTCTCCAAGTTTGTCTGTGAATAGCTGAGCCTCGTCCCCATAATGTACTGTGCCTAAGAGCCCCCATGCGGTATACTAATATATTGCATGTTTTACACGAAAGGCTCTCTCCACCATGCCAATGTTTTTCCAATTAGGGATCCCCACACTCTTCTGTCAATTCACCATCGTGCTTAATGACCCGTGTCTGTAAGATGTAAGATGTAAGATTTAGAAAAGCCTTGCTTTTTTTCTCTCCCAGAACCCATGTGCTGAAGACAGAGACACGTGCTGGATTAAAGACCTTCACGCCCTTCCTGTCAATTTACCATCGTGCTTAATGACCCGTGTCTGTAATATGTAAGATGTAATATTTAGAAAAGCCTTGCTTTTTTTCTCTCCCAGAACCGGTGTGCTGAAGACAGAGACACGTGCTGGATTAAAGACCTTCACGCCCTTCTGTCAATTTACCATCGTGCTTAATGACCCGTGTCTGTAATATGTAAGATGTAATATTTAGAAAAGCGTGGGTTTTTTTCTCTCCCAGAACCGGTGTGCTGAAGACAGAGACACGTGCTGGATTAAAGACCTTCACGCCCTTCTGTCAAATTTACCATCGTGCTTAATGACCCGTGTCTGTAAGATGTAAGATGTAAGATTTAGAAAAGCCTGGGTTTTTTTGTCGCTGGATCCGTGTCTGTAATATGTAAGATTTGAAAAAGCCTTGTTTTTTTCCCTTGTCTGTAATATGTAATAAGATGTTTTATAAAAGCAAGGACAGAACCTTTTCGAAATCTTACCTCTTACATCTTACAGAGACTTGTGTTCTAAGATGTAAGATGGAAGATAGGAGATAGGTCCTAATTTTTCTTTGTAAATTTAGCACGCGTTTTTATTTGCTGTTGTAACACTAGGAAAAGGTACTTTGATTTTGTTTTGCAAATGTAGCACGCTGATGCAACTATCCTAAATCAGGAAAAGGTACTTAACATTTGCAAAAAAAGGCGTGTTTATGTGCTGTTTGTTTTGCAGACGATTTATCTACCAGGAATACCATTTATGTTGTTTTTGTGTTGAATTCCCT